ATCTCCTGGTGCCGGAATCCCCGTGTGTGCTGCTGGCACTGCCCTTTGCCAGAAAGAGAGCCACCGGCAAGTCAGGAACAGGAGGCAGCCAGGAGCGTCCTCCTTTGAGGTCGTGCTGGAGACGGCTGTGAGATTTTTCTAGACACCCACTGGAAGCACCCTGGGGGGAGAGGGGAGCTACTGCAATGGAGTTCCATGCAGTGGCACTCTCATTCGTCCTTGCGTTGCGAATGTCTTCTCTTGCTTCTGGGAACAAACTTCAGCCCCATATGTAAGTAGCGGGGAAAAAAGAACTGGAGCATTTCTATAGGGCAGGGGACCGTAAAGCAGAGGCTAAACACAGTATTTTAAAATCGAGGATGAAGGGAGGAGCAGAGCGAGCGAAGGGGCGGGAGTGCTGGGCTGCGTTTCTTTATCTTGTACCAGACGTACATAAAGGTGAATAGGCATTGGAAAATCTGGATGGTCTTTGCTTGTAGGAGGCAACTCACCATTTTTAACGGGACCGTCGCCATCGTGCGAGCACAAGAGGTGATTGTTGTGTAAATAGGCTGACCTTTCTTCACAGACCCGCTGTTTTTATTGCGCTTCATGTATCCCTTGCTGCATGTTTCTGTCCCCCTCTTGCTGTTACTCTAGCAGCATGGAGTCTGTTCTTTTTAATTAAATTTTACTGTTACAGTTTGGTGTTAATCATTTGGCTTCTTTGCAAAACTTCCTTGCAAATTTGGTCTCCTGCCAGAAGATGATCTCTCGATGCAGGGGGGTTGCTCTAATTCTTGTCATGAACGAGCCCAGTGTCGCATGGTGTGCTAACTCCAAGCTCCTCTCCCTGATGTTTTTAACTTTTTGATTGAAAACGGGTCCTTTTCAGCAGATAAACGTTTTGCAAGAAGACGCCTTTTCTCCCTCTGTCAGGGATTCTGTGCTCCTGCCCTGACAGTTACTTTTAGGACTCCTTGGATGAGACACTGGAGATGAGACATGTGCCGAAGTGTCGGAGAAGAGCGAACACCAGCGCCCGAGAAGTGCCGTCGCTTTCCAGACGGTGTTGCCGCCGGTGCCTGCCGCACACACAACCACTGTTGGGGGCACGCAAGAACCTTTCTTTGTTGTAATGAATGACACCAAAACGCTGCTGCTGCCGCCAACCTTGTTCTCGTGGTTCCTTTCAGTTCTGTATTTGGATGTGGCAGGTGAGGTGCCCACAGGCTAATGGCAGAGGAGGTCCAGTGGGTAGGGAAGTACCACCACCCCCTGCATCAGCTCGCAGCTCTCTGCAGACGGAGATGCTCACGACAGAAACCAGCTTCTCTGGCAGCTGCCGTTAGCGCGGGGGACTGTTGTGCTGGTGAAGTGATGTGTGCGGAGCTTGGCAAGCCAAACAGCTCGGCAGTGGCCACATGTGGGGATGAGGAGAGAAGATTTAGAGCTAAGCTAGAGGGGGGAGGAAACTTGCCATTAACCCCAAAGGCATTGCCGGGCTTGCTGTAACGGCGGTGTCACTGAACGTCCTGGAGCAGCCAGATGCCAGCTGCAAGCTCTATGCTTTACCACGTCCAAATTATTTAGGTAACTTCTTTTACAGAAAGTATTTTTGTGAAAACTCCCGGTCCCTTTTGAAGAATTGGAAGCAACAGAATCAGTGCCAAATAATGAACAGCTCATAGCTTACTAAGTTGGGGACAAATGTGTCCCTCCTCATTCTTAGTTAAAACTACTGACTCCTATTTGGTGAAAGAAGAAAGTTGGGATGAGGAAAGAAATAGAGTGCACATGGTATTTTCCTTACTTTTCTTGCTCACTGAATGATACTTACGCAGTTTATTTACTAGAATTAGTCTTGCAGGCCTTAGCCCTGCATGAGCAAACAGAATCCTGATTTAAAGCAGTATTAATAAAATGGTGTATCGTTTCTAGTGGCAGAATAATTCTCTCCGCCCCCCCCCCCGATGCTGTTAGAAGATGCAGATATCGTTGGTGTTTGCAATGACAATAGTCAGGACAATAACCCCCTGAGTGCGAAGAAAGCATACATATTCTTCGTTAACTGTGAGTGGACAGAAGGGACAAACATAGACATTATTGTGCTACCATATCGCGTAGGCTGCTACCTCTTTTCCGATCCATCCTCTCTGTTTTAAGGCTAAAAACTAGCCTTAACGTATCAGTGGAAAAGTAATTGCTGCGTTTTGCAAGTGGGCTGTAGAGCGTCCCGGGACCTAGAGGTGTGAAATGTCAGCTGCTTCCCAGTCTCACTGAAGTTTGCTGTGTTGTGATGCTATAAAACTGTATTGCTTTAGATTTCTGTTGCTGTACCGGAGCCTCATCGTGGGCTCTGGGGCGCGGGATGGAGCCAGGTTCCCGTCTCTGCCACCGACTCGCAGCGGGGATTGCTCAACGTGTCCTCTCTCTGCGTGGCTGTTCTCCACCTATAAATACGTGTTTGCAACGTTCACCTTTTGGCTCTCCAGCGCTTAAGTGATGTGCGAAGGCCTAATGACATGAGCAGTTCAGAAGCCATTATTGTACTGTACGTTTTGTTGATGCCGGTGCCACGGTGTTAACATGCTCTCTGGTTACAAGAGCATGAAATCTGAGAGGTTCTGGGGGAGGTGGACAGGCTGCGCTTGGCAACTGCTTGTGGCTGGACAACTTGGCAGTTTGCTTTTCCCTGCACTGATTCAATTAAACGAGGAGGCAAATACTGTGTATTGCATAAGATCTTTTTACTCTTTTGGTAAAGAGATGGAGTTGCCCGTAGCTGGTGCCTGTTTAAGGGGTGGAAGCGCTGCGCTCCTCTCTCAGCAGCGTGCAGACCCCCGTTACACCTCCGTTTCTCTCTGCCAGGCCAAACATCTGCGTGGAGCAGGAGCTGGCGATTGTGGGGCACCGGCAGCCGTGCGTCCAGGCCTTCACCCGCGCCGTCAAGGTGTGGAAGCAGGACTGCGGGGGACGGCGGTGGTGCATGGGCTATGAGCGGAGGTATGGGTTCTTCCTTCAAGCTTGGTTTGCTCCTTGCAGGATGAAAATTGATTCCTTCTCACCAGCAGCCACGGGGAAGCAAGCTTGTCGCTTGCTCTGCAGCTGCAAAGGGGAGAACCTGTTGCACTGGCAGCGGCTGGGCACAGGAGCTGAGGGCTGGGAGCTCCGTCCTGCTGCCCAGGCTGTGTTCTGATGCTGGAAACGGCCTCAGAAACTGCTCGGTAGCCTCCAAGGAGACTTGGTGACCGTGGCGGTGGCTCTCCTTGACTCCCTGCAGCTCTTCAGGGAGAGAGGAGGAAGCATCCAGCACTTGGTACCTGGCCTTCAGCGGGTCTGGCACTAGGGTAGCAAAGCAGTTTCTTCAGCGGTTCCTTCCTTCCTTCACTTTTCTTTCCTGCGCAGCAGCCAAACGTCGGTGTGCCGACCTCCTTCTGTACTCTGCTCGTGCTTCCGGCCTCGTTAGGCAGTCACAAGCCTTTACAAAATAATAATGATAGTAGTGGTTTCAAAGAAGTGTCCTGGACTAGAGACAGCTTTTAAGTCCTGACTTTAGGAATTCCTCCTAACCTGTAATTGCCAGTAATTATCTTGGTGATGATATCTGTGTAGGGGTAATAAAGGAGCAAACAGAGTCTGTCTTTTTTGACTGTGTTTTAAGAGAGGACTTTGAAATGATAGGTCCCCTATCTGCTTCTACTTCAAAGGCTGGGTCCTCTTCAGACCCAGCTGTCCTTTTAGCTCTGTAATGTGTGTTTTTGACATTGTGAGCCGAGGAACTGAAATGAAAAAACTTCAGGTGTGCTTTGTTGTAAAAAATCAGGATAGCCCAGTGCTAAAAGCCTGTTCCTGATGAAAATAGGTGAAGCCCAGAGGTGCTGCGAGGGATTTCACCCAAGGAAGTGTAAAAGCAAGTACAATAAAAGGACTATCAGCAAAACTTCCCTCAGGCAAGATTTTGTCCCATACCCCCTCAGTCCAAACTTCTTTTGGGAGCTCACGTTGCAGCAAGTTGATTCCAACAGGTGGAAGATCTCATGGAATCATTAAGGATCGAAAAGACCTCTAAGATCATCAAGTCCAACTATCAACGCAACACCACCATGCCCACTAAACCATGTCCTGAAATCTCCTGCCAAGCTCCCTGGTGCAGAGCAACTGAGGGCGGTGGAGCATGCAGTTTCGGCGTTCACAGGGGTGCTACGCAGCCTCTGTCTGTCCCGCTGGAGCTGCTCCAGTTGGACCCGGCTCCAGTGGCGCGGGGCTCAGGAGGCATCTTAAGGGCTTCAGGATCTGCCACACGCAGGGCTGGCCTGAAATTGGCCTCAGTACCTTTGAGTTCGTGGATGCGACTAGGAAAATCCAGCATCTGCTTTTCCATTCCCCGGCGCACCACTTAGTGCTGCTGCCTAGCCCGGCCAGGAGCTGCTCTCCGCAGGGGCTGAAGCGCAAGTCACTGGCGTGCAGGGTTCATAATCGTTAGCTCATTTCCTAAAGCTCCTGGGCACACTTGGCACGCTGCGGATGCTGCTATGGTCCCATCGCTTTGCCTAAACTGTAAGTGCAGTTTAGGGGAGGTGGGCAGAGGCGGGAGGGTGGGCAGGGGACGGGAGCAGCCGAGGGGGTGATTGCTGAGTTTGTGCATTCCAAACCCGGTAGCGTTTGTTTTTATAAGACTCATATCTGCACCTAGAGCAGTGGATTGCAACATTTCCTAAAAATCGGAACCCACCTTGCTCTGCCCCCCTGGGACAGCGATCCTGCCTGCTCAGAGAGCCAGCGTCCGCTCCTCGGCGGATGAACTGAGCAGCCTCTGGGCTGCGCTTCTCCTTGCTCCTGGTCAAGTGGTGTTTTTGCTGCTGGTTGTGTGTAACTTCCCCGAAGTAGGTAACAACAGAAGGTAGCTTTGCTCAGCCCTCGGTAATGAAACCCGGAGGGATGACAGTGCTGTCCCAGAGGGGCTTGGAAGTGGATTTTCCAGCAGCAGGGCACGGCAGGATTTTGAAGCCTGGGTTCCATTAGTTCTGGCTCCTTCAACATTTTCTGTGCCAGGGACTCTTTAAAAGGCAAAAGAAAACAGAAACCTTGAAGATAAAGTATCTCCTGTGCGGTTCTTTCCAGTCTGCAGCATCCAGATATCCACAGGCAACGGAGGCTGTCCAGATATTTGCATCTCCTTGAGAACCCACTCGGGCTGACTCAGGGGTCTGAAGCACCCGATAGAGCCCACCCAGACTCGTGGAGATGAGGTTGTTCCGGGTGCTGTTGGGGGCAGAAAAGAGCCTGGGATTAGCCCCGAGCTGTCCTACGCTACTGTTTCTTGGAATACCTTTTCCTCCTTGTTTCTGCTTAGGCAGGGCAGATGGAAGCAGCGCATGCTGCCACGCAGCCCTTCCTTGTTTTGGATGGAAAGGAAGGTGGTTTTTTTTGAATGCTTGTTGTGTTAGTACCACCCCGCACCCAGGTTGTGCTCCCCAATGCACCCTGCTGCCACGTTAAAGCCCTGGGTGATAGCTCTTGATACCAAGAGGAT